AGCTTGTTTCCACTATCTCTGGCTGAACCATACAAATGTGCTTCTTTTCCCTTCTGTCTTCTCTATGACCTACAGAGGTGAGACAGACTTAGACAAAAATAAGTTCAGGGACTTTCCATGGCATTAAGTCACCACCGCCATTCTTGGTCACCATAACAAACAAAAATAAGGGTGAAAGGCCTCTAGTTAACTTCCTATAATTAAGCAAGTGAACTTACCATCTACAGGTCACAGCCTAATATACAGAATTTATAATCCCTACCCATATGAAATCATATCAAATTGATTAATACTGGTTACAATGGAGTAGGGGTCCAGATGAATTATTTCTCACATCTGCTCAGAATCCTACCCTCTCTTCTCCCTTCCCCTCTGTCTTTCTATTCCATTATATTCTCAGTTCTAAAATCTCCTGTGATGCATGGCCTTTCTCCTTTCCCCTAGGGCTTCTGCCTCTGCTTCTGATGTCTTCCCCCATCAACATTCCATGTTTGTGGAAGGCGCTTTGGTTTTGTCATGGTCTCCCTGAACTTAACATTTCATAGTTACCGGAGGACAGGGACTTTTGCTGATATTCCTCTGTATCCCTAACATACACACAAAGGCTGTCACAGTGCAAACACTGGGGAGGTGCTTAGTTTTTTTGAATGGTTGTTGGACAGATGGATTCCACAAATCAATGCTCCACCACAATCTCAACTCCCATATGAAATTTCTGTGAATTCTTCTGTCATTTGCATCTCAAGAAGCATTGATTAAGCGAGACAGCATTCCATTGCCTAGACAAAGAATCAGAAGGTAAGAAAAGAAAGTGTGATGTAAGGAGAACAATCCCTTCTGGGAGAGGGATTCCATGAAGCCTTGGTAAGGCATCAGCCACATTAACCACATAGGCTTTGGCAACATGATAATCATTTCTCATTACAGCAACAAGTTAATGGCGGAGCCTTCTCAGAGGAACCACAAACCAAGAAAAAATAAAACTGTTATTGAGTTGGAGTAATTGTTGTTAGGGGCCAAACAATGACAAGAATGGGATTTTGCCCTGGCAATTTAGCCACTGGAAGTTATGTAATTCTGGTTCTGCATCTGCCACACCTCTTTCTGGCTGGAAATGTATATAAATCTCCAGGTACATGGTGCCCTACACACTCACACAATCTACTTTTAACATCCTGACACAATGTGCTACTATGGCAGCTACTACGGGGGCCTGGGCTGTGGTTATGGCTCTGGTTATGGCTGTGGATGTGGCAGCTTCCGTGGCCTAGGCTGTGGCTTTGACCACTATAGCTATGGAGGCCTGGGCTGTGGTGGCTATGGCTATGGCTGCTGGCGCCCATCTTGCTATGGAAGGTATTATTCCTATGGCTTCTACTGAAAACCATTTGCTCTTGCCCTATCATGGCAACCTTGACCTGCCCTGCTTTGGGCTAATTCCATGACCTTGTAAGGACGTCATATTCCATCTGCCTTTATGGCTGGGTGGCATGGGAGAGCTACCACACCAGGGCCTTGGACTGCCTGTGGAGCACTCAGGGCACAGAATGAAAAGCAGCTGGACCTGTTCTTCTGGGATTTGATGCAGAATTTCACTGGGCATGAGGCAGATTCCTCCAATGACAACTCATCTCCAGCAAGTTTGCTCAGCTCTTATAGACCACGGCTGAGCCATCCAATACAACTTTCTAATAAACTCATTTCACTGGCTTGGCAAAACTGTGTTTGCCTCTCCTCCTTGACCTCACTCTCTTTGGGTTTCAGCCTCTCATCAGGAAGAGATTTTCAGCTTTGATGTACATCATTGCAGAAGATTTGCTCTCCAATGCATCTTTTGCAATCAGGTGATCCCTCTCCAGATTCTTGTTCAGAAAACATATTATTTCCCTTTTCAATATCTTTCTCAAATTTGACTTCTTGCAGTACTTCATTTTAGCACTTCATAATATTTCAACCACACCTTACTAAAGGGAAGGCATCTGTCCCATATAACCTGCATCCTTTCTCACATGTTTTAGGCACATGGGACAGGGCTTTTATATTAAAGGTTTCAAAAAGATTTACATGTTTATGGTGTCATGTTTGTGGTTGGTGACCCCAGACCAGGTGTCCCTGATGGTGGAGAATTCATTCAATGTATATCTTGTCTGGGGCAGCCAGGTGATGCCATGTGTCAAGTGTCAGACCTGAAATTAGCAAGAGTCATCTTCCTGAGCCGAAATTTGGTCTTGAAAATTAACTAGTCTATAGGACCCTGGCAAGTCACTTAACCCTATTTGCCTCACTTTCTTCATTTGTCAAATGAGTTGGAGAAAGAAATGGCAAACCACTACAATATCTTTGATAAGAAAACACCAAATGCTATCACTAAGAAAAAGGGTTGAACATGAGTGAAAAATGACTGAACAACAAATCACTTGTCTAGCTGTCTTCCACCTCTTTGTTATCACCAAAAAATCTAAAGATTTGGTGCACAGCACAAGTGAATGGCCCATGACAAATACCGCACAAGAGAGTCATTTACTAAGTCTGAAAGCTGTTATGAAAGCTCCCCATTGGGTGGGCCGCATCTCCTCCAACCTGTCAACACAGAACACTGCTTTCAAACTGAAGCGCATCTGTCCATGGGGGAAGTGCATTCATTGTTGCAAAGATATCAAATCACCTAAACTCTCTAATTAACTCAAATATCCAGATTAAGAGGACATCTGTTTTACTGCTCCACAACCAGCTTGAGACCTTTGGGTTCCTCAGCTCCATGAGCCAACAGAGTCCCTGAAATCATGTCCCTCAGATAGATACTCAGGAAGAATGACAGAGCTCAGCACACTACCTGGCACATAGTAGGTGCTTAATAAATGTTTATTGATTGGAATTGTGCTTCAAACAGTGGAGGAAATAGTAGAATTGTCACTACCAATAAACTTTATTCTTCCTGCTATATGTTAGTTTAAAATGAATTTCTGTTGCTATATATGGCTCCTAGCCATTATTCTCCATTCACAAAAACCATGTACATTTTTATATTTCTACTAGATTTTTGACAGAAATACCCTCAGTGGCCTCACTATATTTGATTCCTTCCAAAATATATCTCCAAAAGATTTACCAATTGTTTGTCAGGAAAACATTATATGAAAGTCAATTAGATGGAAATTTATCCTTCAGGAATAAAATCATTTCTCTCTTGGATGGTTCTCATTGGGCAAAGAATATTTCATTCTCCTCAGCAAAGACAAAAATCAGTCTATATGGGAGAAATGCCAATTGAATCCACATTCTCCCTCTTAGGAACAAAAATAATAGATCTAATACCTGTGACCATGCGGTGGCCATTAAAACACACCAAGAGAACTAGGGCAACCTCCTAAGTGTCCTCTAAGCCCAAGAGTCCCAGTTCCTTCAAGTGAATTTCTTAGGGTTTGAACTGAAGGCCCTTCTACCCACTGGGCTGGACTCCTCTGGATGTTTTCCAGCTCAGCCAAAGACCAATCAGGCACTGAGCAGTGCATTTTACAGATGGATCATCATATCAATTTCCTGAATTCTTGTCTCTTATGTGCCTCTTCTTGCAATCTTGGGGTCACAGTGTGCTTCCTGGCTGTCATATGACATCTTATTGTGTTCCTCATCCTTTAGTGTGCTGCTGTAAGAGGTTTCGAAGCTAGGAGGTAAGAGGAGACATCTATTGCTCTCCCATTCATCTTCAGCTTATTTTTCCCCTGGCCAATTAAAGTCTTTCTGAGACACTCCACAACCAGAGAGCTACAGCTTGACTTCTCTGCACAATGTTCACTTACCTCCTTTCTCTGAAAGAATCTTGGCTTCCCTTCTCCACTCTGCTACCCAAGAGATTTTCCCAAAGCATTCTTCTAACTCCTTTTCCTCTATAACATCCAAACACCCCAGACCCCACACTTGTTATCTGGTAACCCCTTCCTTGTTTCCTTTCCTGTGCTGATTTAAATGAAGACACTCTGTCAGGCACTTTGTCCTCTTCATCAGATGACCCTTTCCCACATTTCTAGGCTTGGTGCACTTCATTGCCCTCCCCATATTTCATGGTCGTGCCCATGATGACCTATTTGCATTCCCTCAGATAAAATACTGTATGTTCTTTCTGCTTGACTTTGCACTGGATGGCTGTCCACTCTGTCCAGAATCCTCTCCTCTTTTTGCCTTCCTGTCTGACCTTCTCTGGTCCAATAGAGTCTTAGCTCTAATACCACTTGTGCCATGTGGTCTTATCTCTTTATTGGGATGACTTGTACCTTTCCTCTGAGATATTCTTCCATCAATTCCCCGTGTTTCACACAAGTGCCTTGTTTTTATATCCTCAAGGGCTTTAGAATATTGGAACTCCCAAAAATAGGAGATCCCTTGACATTTCTTTGTATCCCTAACCCTGAGTACAGTGGCTGGACAGTGCAAACCCTGGGGACCTTGTTTGTACTTGGATTGATTTTGGCATTGTTGTTTGATTGACCTATTTCATACACCGGTGCCCAGCTACCAACTCAACTCCAATCTAAAACTTATGGAATTCTGTCACTTAAATCTCAAGAAGCACTTATTAAAGACACAGGATTCAACTACCCTAATTCTGAATGCCAGGATGGAAAGCATAATGGAAAGAAGGCAGTGCCACCCAAAAGAGGGCTGCCATGAAGCCTAGAGAGGGCATCAGCCACACTAACAACATAGGTTTTGGCAACGCTATAGTAATGTCTCATTACAGAAATGAGATTATGACATACTCTTCTTGGAAAAAGAACAAATCAAGAGAAAACAACCTTAATGAGCCTGAGGAATTGTTGTCAGGGACAAAATGATGTCAAGAATGTGATTTTTCCCAAGCAATTTCATTAAAGGGAATTGTGCAATTCTAGAAGGAATCTGCAACATCTCCTACTGGAAATGCATAGAAGTCCCTATGCAGATGGTGCCTTATACACTCACACAATCTACCTTTAACATCCATTTAAGTGAATCCTGACACAATGTGTTACTATGGCAGCTACTATGAGGGCCTGGGCTGTGGCTCTGGCCCTAGTTATGGCTGTGGATGTGGCAGCTTCCACAGCCTAGGCTGTGGCTTTGGTGGCTATGGCTGTGGAGGCCTGGGCTGTGGTGGCTGTGGCTATGGCTGCTGGCGCCCATCTTGCTACGGAAGATATTATTCCTATGGCTTCTACTGAAAATCCATTTGCTCTTGGCCTATCGTGGCAACTTGCCTGCCCTGCTTTGGGCTAATTTCATGACCTTGTAAGGACATCACATTCCACCTGCCTTTATGGCTGGGTGGCATGGGAGAGCTACCACAACAGGGGCCTTGGAATCTCGATGGAGCCCTCAGTGCACAGAAGTGGCAGGGACTGAGAAGCAGTAGGACCTGTCCTCCTGGGAAATCATGCAGAAACCTACCTTTCAAGATGAAGACTTCTCCAATGACAACTCATTTCCAGCAAATTTACACTGATACACTGTGGTTGAGGTATTTGTTACAATGCTTTATTAAACTTCTTTCACTGGCTTAGCAAAACTTTTTTCAGCTCTCCTCCTTGACCTCACTGTACTTGGGTGTCAATCTGATGTTGTGAAGAGATTTTTAATCTTGACCTATGATTGAATGTCATTGCAAAAGATTTATTCTCCAATGAAATGATACCTCTCCAGATTTCTATGGGAGGAAAAAACATATTATTTCCTTGTTCCAATGTCTTTCTAAAGCTTGATTTTTGTAGCATTTACATTTTAGTACTTCTTGGTGTCCAACCCCAACTCTATCAAAGATAAGGTATTTGTCTCTATAACTGCCATGTTCTTTGTGCACATGGAAAAGATTTTTATCTTCAAGGTTTCAAAGTTTCAAGTGTTCAGGGCCTTATGTTCATGGTTCATGACCTCCAAATCCCAGGTGTCCCTGATGACTGTCAGAATTTGGCTTAGCCCATCCCCTGTCTAGAAAACCACTTCTTAAACTGTGGGTTCCTGACCCCATAAAAATTTGGCAGTAAGCAGTAAAAGGACCAAAAATTAATTAAAAATTAAACACGTAAAGAATCTGAGGTGTTTCTGGCAGCACTTGCCAGTGTTACATCTCACAACTTCACTGCGATCTTGGTTCTGAATACAAAGCGTGCACACTCTGCAGTTGTGCATGCCCTCAGGCCACACAAGGCTAACACTGCTGCCAAAATGCCAAAAGGGGTTACAAGTGGAAAAAGTTTAAGAAGCCAGGGTCTAGATCACTTCCACCAACTTCTCAACAAGCAATTTGAGTTGTGGAGCACAGTACAAGTGAATGGTACACCACTCAAGCTACAGAAGAGAGTCATATGTCATTCCTGTAAGTTGTCATGGAAACTTTCCTTTTGGGTGAGTGCCATCTCCAGCAGCCACCTGCACTATTGATCCAACTCACAACACTGCCTTTGAACTGAGGCCAGCCCATCCTTGGGGGAAGTAGACTTATTGTTGCATGGGTGCCCTGCAAATCACTCAAACACCTGAACTCTCTAAGCAATTCAGTCTCCCAGAGAAAGAGAACATCAGCTTTGCTGTTCCATTACGAGTCTTGGGGCCTTTAGCTTCCTCAGTCCCATAGGCCAACAATGTCCCTGTATTCATGTCCTTCGTACAGGTTCTTGGAAAGAAAACCAGAGCTTAGCACTCTGCCTGGCACAAAGTGTGTGCTTAATAAATGATTATTCATTAAACTTTTGTTTCACATAGTGGAGGAAACAATACAAATGCCACTACCAACATATTTTATTCCTCCTACTATTTGTTAGCTTAAAATGAACTTCTGTTATTAAATATTGTTTTTAGGCATTATTCTCCATTCATAAAAAGCTCATCCATTTCTATGAACCCCAATGTTTTTTGGCAGAAGTGCTGTCAGCAGTCGTATTTCACACTAATCCTCCCAAAACACATGACCGAATGATTTCCCAATGCTTTGCCATAAAACATTTTATGGAGGTCACTTCAGTGGAAACCAGTCCTTCAGGAAGATCATTGTTCTCTTGAACCGTTCTCATTGGGCAAAGAGTATTTCATTCTCTTTAATAAAGATGATATTCTATTTCTGGGGGCAAATTGCTACCTCTGGATCCAAATTCTCCTGTCTGAGTACAAACAGAATAGATCTAGTACATTTTTACATGGTAGCCACTAAAGCACCTTAAGGGAACCAGCACCACCCCTCAAAAAGTCCCAGCTCCTTCAAGTGAAGGTACTAGGGCTTGAGCTGGAGGTCCTTTCTTTAAAAATTTATTTATTTTTAGTTTTCAACATTCACTTTTATAAGATTTTGAGTTCCACATTTTTCCCCTCCCCAAGACAGCAATCATTTTAAATATATTTCCACATTAGTCATGTTATAAAAGAAAAATCAGAACAAAAGAGAAAAACCAAGAGAAAGAAAAAAAGAGAGAGAGAGAGAATAGTGCGCCTCCATTTACATTCAAATTCCATAGTTCTTTCTCCAGATGTGAAAAACATTTTCCATCATGAGTTTTGGAATTGTCTTAGATAATTGTATTGCTGAGAAGATCTAAGTCTATCAAAGTTGGTCATCACATAATGTGCTGTCACTGTGTACAATGTTCTCCTGGTTCTGTTCACTTTACTCAGCATCAGTTTGTATAAGTCTTTCCAGGTTTTTCCTAAAATCCCCCTGCTCATCATTTCTTATAGAACAATAGTATTCTACTACATTCATATTTATTTATGCGATTCCTCAATTAATGGGCTTACCCTCAATTTCCAATTCTTGGCCAGCACAAAAAGAGCTGCTATAAATATTTTTGTGTATGTGGGTCCTTTTCCCATTTTTATGACCTCTTTGGAATACAGACATAGTTGTGCTATTGCCGGATCAAAGGGTATACACAGTTTTATAGCCCTTTGTCTATAGTTCCAAATTGCTTGCTAGAGGCTCTTCTGCCCTGTGGTCTGGACTTCTCTGGATGTTCTCTGGTTTAGCCAAAGACCAGCCATGCACTGAGTTGGTGCAGGTTACAGACAGACTATCCATTTTCACAACTTCTAGTACCTTATGCTCACCTTAATACATTCTTAAGGTCACAGTGGAACTTCTGGCTGTCATGTGACATCCTATTGGGCTTCTTTATCCTTTGGTATGCAGTTGTGAGAAGATTGGAGGATGGGAGGAGAGAGGATACACCTATCATTGTACCAACCACCTTGGGCTCATTTTTCTTCTGGTCAATAGAAGTCTTTCTGAGGTGCTTCACAACCAGAGAGCTACAGCCTTTTTTCTCTATTCTCCACTAAACTCTCTCATTTAGTGACCTACTCATCTGCCCTGGGCTCACTTCCTTCCTCTCTGACACTCACTACTCCATGTCAAGGTCCAGCCCAGCATTTCTCCTGAACTCATTTGTTCAGCTGGCTGTCTAGCTATGCCTAGATTTCATGTTCTTTCCCAACTTCATATTATCAGCACTTCCCAGTACTTCCACTTTGAAAAGGTCCAATGGCTGTACTACATTAACTGAAGCCACCTCATGATCCCTAGATGCTCTCCTTTCACGGACTTGGAAAGCCCTGAAAAATCCAATTCATGACCCCAAACTTCAAGAGAAATTGCTCTCTCCAAAGGGCTTAATGATGTATTCATGGCCCAAATTAATAGGCTCTTCTCAGGCTTCCTTCTTCTTCATCCCTTCAGCTATTGACACCACTGACCAACTTGTTCTCATGGATATGCTGAACACTGCATGTCCAGCCTGACTCTTCCTTCTTGGTTGCCTTAACTGGCCTACTCTCATATTGTCTCAAGCCCACTGTGTCTGACTGAACCCCAATCTTGGCTCTTTTCTTTTCTCTCCATTATGCTCTCTCAAGGGGTAAGAGAGTAGGCCCTCCTTAGGATCATGCCTTCGGGGGCTTTTTCTCTGCCATTCTCTGTCACATCTCCAGATCCAGACCAGCATAACTCCTGAGCAAGTGTCCAGCCCATAATGAACACAATGGACCCTCTGATTGGATAATTTCAACTTGATGTCCCCTAAACATCTCGAAACTCCCTGAGCCTAGAACAAATCCCCTCATCCTGCCTCATCCAAAGCACCCAACTTCTTTTTGGCTTCTCTACTCCTTTCTAGAGTACTAAGATCAAGCCTGGAACCCAGGTTCACTGTCTCAGGGATATCCTTGACTCCTTACTATCATTGCACCTACCAGATCAGTTAGCAAAACTTATGTTTTCTACCTTCACAACATCTTTGGACTCCAAACACTTCTGTACATTCACATGGTCCCCACCTTAGATCAGACCGCCACAGTATCTCTTTGCAAGAGCCTTTCATTAGCCTCCCTGCTTCAGTCTTCTTTGAACCCAGACTCCTCCTCCACTCAGCTGCACAAAGGTGTTTTCTAAATCGTTCTTCTGAGTCCTCTCCCCCTTTAACCTGCAAAAGTCGCAGGCTAATTATCTTGTAAATTCAAGTTGTTTCCTGTTCTATGCTGGTTTAAACAGATACCTTGCCTGGAATTTTGCCCTCTTCATCGGATGGCCCCTTCTCTATCTTTCCAGTCTCATTTCTTTGCCCATATTCTATGGACCTCCCATGCTGGCCTATCTTCTAATACTCAGACACTGCCTGTCCACCTTACCCAGAGTCCTCTCCTCTCTCCTCCCCTTCCTCTATGAATTTCTAGACTCCCTTTGAGTCTCAGCTCTAATCCTATCCCTCTCCCCCAGTGGCTTGTGCATCTTTTTCTGAGATCTACCATTGACTCTTCAGGTTTGTGGCAGGTACCTTGTTTTTTCATGTTCTCACAGTCTGGACAGCAAAGACTCTGTTGACAATTTCTTCTATCCATAATCTTGATCACAATGGCTGGCTCAGTACAAACACTGGGGAGTTGGTTTGTACTTGGGTTGATTTTGGAATGCTTATTTAACTGATGTATTACACAAAGTTGTGCCCCACTACCATTTCAATTACATTCAGAAACTTATGTGATTCTGTCACTTCATTCTCAAATAGCATTAACTAAAAGAGACAAGAATCCACAGCCTGTCAAAAGGAGCAGAAAGCCAGGATGGCAAACATATTGAAGGAGGAAAATATGAATGGGGAGAGGAATGCCATGAAGTCAAGCACTAGCCACATTAATGATATGGGCTTGACAACACTATAATCATTTCTAATTAAAAGAACAAGATCCTTGCAGAGTCTTCTCTGAGAAAGAGCAAATCAAGAGAAAACAACTTTAATGAGCTTGAAAATTTATTCTCAGACAACAAACAGTGAAAAGAATGTAATTTTGGCCTGGCAATTTCTTTAATGGGAATTGTGCAATTCTGGCCTGGGTCTGCCACACCTCCTGGTGGAAATGTATAAAAGTCCCCATGTAGATGGTGCCCTACACACTCACACAATCTACACTCAACATCCATCTAAGTGAATTGTGACACAATGAGCTACTGTGGCAGCTACTATGGGTTCCCGGGCTATGGCTATGGCTATGGCTCTGGTTATGGCTGTGGATGTGGCAGCTTCCGTGGCTTAGGCTGTGGCTTTGGCAGCTATGGCTATGGCTGCTGGCGCCCATCTTGCTGTGGAAGGTATTATTCCTGTGGCTTCTACTGAAAAACCACTTGCTGCTGGCCTGTCATGGAGCTAATTCCATGGCATTGTAAGGACATCACATTCCACTTGCCTCTATAGCTGGGTGGCATGGGAGAGCTACCACAACAGGGCCTTGAAATCTTTATGGAGCACTCAGGGCAGTGAAGTAGCAGGACTTGTCCTTCTAGGAAATGATGCAAAATCTCACCTTTCATGAGGGAGACTCTTCCAATGATAGCTCATTTCCAGCAATTTGCTCATCTCTACTATACCATGGCTGAGGTATCTGTTATGATTTTCTATTAAACTTGTTTCCCTAGCTTAGCAAAACTATTTCCATCAATCCTTCTTGACCTCCCCATACTTCAATTTCAGCCTCTCATCATGAAGAGATATTCAACTTTGATGTACTTCTCCATGTCATTGCATATATGCTCTCCTACTTATCTTTTAACAAAGACGCAACACCTCTCCAAATTTCTGTTTAAAAAACATTATTTCCTTGTTAAATTTTTCTAAAATTTTCCTGTAGTACTTAAATTTTAATACTTCATAATGATCGACCTCTACTTTATCAAAAGCAAAAGCCTCAGGGACATCCTACGCCCCTCTCTCTCATTTCACCTATCCAATCAGTTGGCAAAACTTGTCCTTCCTATTTCCTTTTCTTTTTTTTTTTTTGAGGCAATTGGGGTTAAGTGACTTGCCCCAAGTCACACAGCTAGTAAGTGTTATGTGTCTGAGGCTGGATTTGAACTCAGGTCCTCCTGACTCTAGGGCCAGTGCTCTATCCACTGCGCCACCTAGCTGCCCCTGTCTTTCCTACTTTCATAGCATCTCTGGCATCCAAATACATCTCTCCATTCACACAGCCTCCATCTTAGATCAGAACCTCACAGTACCTCTCTGGAAGAACTTTTGATTGGCCTCAGTGCTTTAATCTTGTTCCTACCCAGACCTGTTCTCCACTCAGCTGCCTAAGGGGTCTTCCTAAATCATTCTTCTGACTCCTCTGCCCCTCTAATCCACAAGTCCACCACACACACCATCTAATAAACTCTCATTGCTTGCTGTTCTGGGTAGATTTAGAGATACCCACTAGACGGAGCCAAGATAGCAAAGAAAAGGCAAAAGTTGCCTGAGCTGTCCTTAATTTCCCTCAAAACAACTTTAAATCACACTTCAAAATGAATTTTGGAGGGACAGGCCCCACAAAAGGACAGACTGAAACAATTTTCTGGGGTAAGATAGTTTAGAAAGACTGTAGGAAAAGTCTCTGTCACTTGGGTAAAAGGGGAGTAGAGGCAGTGTCTGGACAAGTTGGGGTGGGGGGGCAGGGAGGGGCCTAGCTCCAGCACAGATCAGCAACCAAGGACTCCTGGTCCCAGTTTAACAGGCAAGCAGTACAGAAGGCCAGCTGTAAGGCCTCTGCCCCAACACAGGAATCTAGTGGTCAGGCCTGGCAGGCCTCTAGGTTGGGGGACTCCACTGCCAGCCCCAGAGGCCCCAGCACAGAAAGCCAGTGACCAGTCCTTTGTCTTTCATTTAAGAAGCATGGGACATTCCCCTGGTACCTCAAGACCAGAGCTCAACTTCAAAAGTCACAACATAGACTGGAAATTAAGCCAAAACACAAACTCAGAAGTGGACAACAACGTCAAAATGTACATGTGAAGACTCAAAGAGAAATATGAATGTGTCTCAGGCTCCAAAATTTCTCCTAAGAGAGCTAAAAAAGGATTTTAAAAATCAAACAAGAGAGGTAGGAGAAAAATTGGGAAAAGAAATGAGAGAATGTCCCATCAGCACCTCAACTCTAATCTGAAACTTGTGTAATTCTGTCACTTGTGTCTCAAGAATCACTTAGTAAAAGAGACAAGATTTCATAGCCTGCCTAAAGAATCAGAAGACCAGTCTGTCAAGTGTAATGGAAGGTGGACAGTGACATCTGAGAGAGGGCTGCTATGAAGCTTTGATTGGACAATGGCCACATTAACCACATAGGCTTTGGAACACTGTAATCATCTCTAATTGCAAGAATGAGAACCTATCAAAGCCTTCTCTGAGAAACAGCAAATCAAGAGAAAACACCCTTAATGAGCTGCAGGAACTGTTCTCATGGAACAGATAATGACAAGAATGTGATTTTGCCTCACAAGCTTGTTATTAGGAAATATGTATTTCTGCGGTGGAACTGCCACACCTCCTTCTGAAAGTGTCTGAAAGTCTCTGTGCAGATGGTGCTGTACACGCTCACACAACCTGCCCTTGCCATCCATTCATATTTGTGAATCCAGACACAATGAGCTTCTATGGCAGCTACTATGAGGGCCTGGGCTATGACTGTGGATGAGGTAGCTTCCACAGCCTAGGCTATGGTTTTGAGGACTGAGGCTACAGAGGCCTACACTATAATGTCAATGGCTATGGCTGCTGCCACCCATCTTACAGTATAACATATTATTCCAATGGCTGCTACTGAAAAACCACTTGCTTCTGGCCTATCACAGAAATCTTGTCCCTCCCTGCTTTGGGCTAATTCCATGACATTGTATGGACATCATTTTATCTGCCTCTATGGCTGGATGGCCTGGGAGAGACCCCACAACAGGGCCTTGGAATCCCTAAGAAGTACTGAGGGCAGCGAAGTGGCAAGCACTAAGAAGTAAAAGGACCTGTCCTTCTGGAAAAAGGATGTAGAATCTCACCTTTCATGAGGGAGATGCCCTCAACAACTGCTCATTTCCAGTACTGTCGCTTAACTTTGATACACCACAGTTGAGGTGTCTGTTACAATGTTTTAATATACCTGCATCACTCTTTTATCAAAATTGTTCTCTCCCCTCTTCCTTGACCTCTCAATACTTCGGTTTCAGCTTCACATCATGAAGAGATTTTTCATCTTGACCTACTCTTCTGCATCATTGCAGAAGATTTATTACCTGATTTACCTTTTGTAATGAAATACCTCTTCAAATTTCTATTGAAAAGGTGTATTATTTCCTTATTAAATGTTTTTCTAAAATTTTATTTCAATAGCACTTATACTTTAGTGCTTCATAATATCTTAACTCTAACTTTACCAAAGGTAAGGAATCTGTCCCTCTAAGCTGTAACGCCCCTCACATCTTCTCTATGTACGTGGGCAGGATTATCTTCAAGGTTTCCAAAAACTCACATGTTCAGGGCCTCATCTTCATGGTTCAAGGCTTCCAGATCCAAGGTGCTGCTGATGACTTTCAGAATTAGGCTTAGACTCTCCTTCATCTAGCTGTCTTCCACCACTTTGTTATCACCAAGAAATTTGAAGTTTTGGGAGCAGAACACAAATTATTTTGGCACACCACATAGAATACAGAAGAGAACCTGAAGGTTATCATGGAAGCTTTCCTGTTGGGTGGGTGCCATCTCCTGCAGCCACTTGCACTATTGGTTCAAGTTTGCCCTGGATCTGAAGCCCACCCTTCCACTGGGGATGTGGACTCATTCTTGCAAGGGAGTCCTGAAAATCACTCAAACACCTGCACTCTCTAATCAACTCAAACTCCCAGGGAAAGAGAGCATAGTCTTTGCTTCTCCAAAACTGGCATTGAGGCACTTAGATTTCTGAGCTCCATATGCCAATGATGCCCCCATAATCATGTCCCTCAGATGGGTTCTCAGGGAAAAAAAAACCAGAGCTTAGCATTCTACCCAGCATATTAATTAATTGAACTTGTGTTTCAAACAGTGAAGAAAACAATACAAGTGCCACTACAAATGGATCTTATTCTGCCTGCTGTTTTTTAGCTTAAGATGAATTTCTGTTACTACATATGGCTCCTAGGCATTATTCTCCATTCATAAAAAGCCTGTCCACTTCTACAAATCCAATTGTTTTTCTACAGAAATTCTCTTAGCAGCCTCATTTCAATCTATTCCTCCCAAAACCCATCTCCAAATGATTCATCAGTCCTTTGCCAGGATACATTACGTGGAAGTTACTTCAGTGGAAACTAATCCTTCAGGAATATGATTATTTCTCTCTTGGACAGCTCTCATTGGGCAAAGAATATTTCATTCTCTTCAGCAAAGTCAAAATTCAGTTTCTGATTGGGAATCACCACCTCTGGATCCAAATTCTTCCGCCTGAGGAAAATCAAAATAGATCTGATACCTATTCTATGTGATGGCCACTAAAACTCCTTATGAGGGCTAGCACTATTTAACCCTGAGTATCCTGTAAGCCTAAGACCCCCAGTTCCTTCAAATGAATGTCCTAGGGCCTGAACTGGAAGCCCCTTTACTGCCAGGTCTGTGCTTCTCAAGAGGCACTCCAGCTTAGCTAAAGACCAGCCATGCCCTGAGAACTGCAGGTTACAGATAAACCATTAGCTCCATTTTCTTGAGGGCTAGTCCCTTAAGCCCCTCTATATGTAATCTCAAGGTCACAGTAGGATTTTTGTGGTCATGTCCAATCTATTGAGGTTACTTAACCTGTAGAGTAGATGTGTAAAAGAATTAGGAGCTGGGAAGAGAACCTATTGATGCCCCAACTGCCTTTAGCTCATTATTCTCAAGGTCAATTGAAGTCTTTCTGAGATGCTTCACAAACAGAGAGCTACAGATTTCCTTTTCTTCTCTCCATTACATTCTCTTGGTTGGTAACTTCATTTGTCCCAGGCTCAATTCCCTTCTCTCTGAAACTCACTAAACCATCTCCAGGTCCAGCCCAGTGTTTCCCCTGAATTCTCTCGTCCAGCTGGTTGCCTAAATATGCCATGATCTAAAAATGCATGATTCTACATAAATTCACACTGTCAGCACTTCCCAGTACTTCTACAATTAAAAGGTTGGCGGACATACTGTGTGGTCTGTGGTGCCTACACAGGAACTCTCCCTGCTCTCTTTTCATTGTCTTTGTTTGATTGAACTATTGCATGTAGTTGTGACCCACCATCCCCTCAACTCCAATCTGAAACTAGCATGGTTCTGTCACATTAGTCTCAAAAAGTACATATTAAAAGAGAGAATTTCACAGCCTGTGAAAAGAAGGACAGGATGACAAACATACTAAAAGGAGGACAATGCCACCTGGGAAATGGCAGTCATGAAGGCGGGGTAGGCATCATCCATATTTAAACACATAGGTTTGGTAACACTATAATCATTTCCCATTACGAGAATGAGAATCCTGGTAGAGTCCTCTCAGAGAAACAACAAATTGAGAAAAAATACCCTTACTAAGCTAGAGTAGTTGTTTTCATGGAACAAAAATGAAAAGAATGTGACATTGCCTTTGCAATTTCATTAACGTGAATCACGCAGTTCTAAAATAGATCTGCCACACCTCCAGCTGGACGTGTATAAAAGTCCCCATGCGTCTCATACCATACCAACTCACCACTTCTCATTGACATCAATCCGTGAATCCTGACAAAATGAGCTACTGTAAGGGCAGCTACTATGGAGGCCTGGGCTATGGCTATGGCTCTGGCTCTGGTTATGGCTGTGGATGTGGCAGCTTCCGTGGCCTAGGCTGTGGATTTGGCAGCTATGGCTATGGAGGCCTGGGCTGTCGTAGTTACGGCTACGGAGGCCTGGGCTGTGGTAGTTATGGCTATGGAGGCCTGGGCTGTGGTGGCTATGGCTATGGAGGCCTGGGCTGTGGCGGCTATGGCTGCTACCGGCCATCTTGCTGTGGAAGGTATTACTCCTCCGGATTCTACTAAAAAAAAACCACCTGCTCCTCCAGTGTCACAGAATCTTTTTCCGACCCTGCTTGAGATAATTGCATGGCCTAGTAAGGACATCACATTCCATCTACCTCTAAGGCTGGGTGATATGGAAGACAGCCTTGGAATTTATATGAAGAACTCAAGGGTAGTGAAGTGGCAGGGACTGAGAAGCAGCAAGACCTGCCCTTCTTGGAAATGATGCAGAATCTCACCTGTCATTTGGGAGACCTCTCCCCCAACAACAGCTCTTTTCCCACAAGTTTGTTCCAACTTCACCACAGCTAAGATGTATGTTATGATGTTCTAATAAATTTGTTTTACTGGCATAGCAAAACTGTTTTCACCTCTCTTCCTTGACCTCCCAGTGCTTGGGTTTCAGCCTCACATTGTGAAGAGATTTTCAATTTTGACCTATGATGGAGAAGATTTATTATCCAATACTTCTTTTGCAATGAAGGGACACATCTCCAGATTTCTATTGAAAATAAAAGCATATTTCCTTGTTAAATATCTTTCTAAAAATTCATTTCTGTAGTACTTAAATTTTAGTACTTCATAATGTCCCACCCCCACTTTACTGAAGGCAAGGTATTTGTACCTATAAGCTATTTCCCGTCTTCCACTTTCTCTGCACCCATGGACAGGGTTTTCATCTTCAAGGTTTCAAAAAGATTGACATGTTCAGGGCCTCATGTTCATGGTTTATGACCTCCAGATGCAAGGTGTCCCTAATGACTGTCAGAATTTAGCCTATACCTTGTCTACCTGTCTTCACTATTTTGTTATCATTAAGCAATTTGAAGTTTTGTAGCACAGCACAAGTCAGTGGCAAAATACAAAGACTACAGAAGGGAGTCATACACCAAGTTTCAAAGTTGTTTCCTCTGAGTCTTTGTCATCTCCTCCAGCCACCTGCACTCTTAATCCAACTCACAACACTGCCTTTGCACTGAGGCCTATCTTTCTGCAGGGGAAGTAGGCTCATTGCTATATGGGTGTCCTGCAAATCAAACACCTGGGCTCTCTAAGCAACTCAACTCCCGGGAAAAGAGACCATTTGCTTTGCTGCTCCACAACAGGCCTTGCGGCCTTTGGATTCTTCAGCTTCATAAACCAGCATGTCCCTTGTAATCCTGTCCCTCAGAGGGGTTCTTGGGAAGGAAACCAGAGCTCAGCACCCTACCTGACACATAGTAGGCTACAAATAGACCACCATCTCCATTTTGTTGAGGGCTAGTTCCTTAAGCCGCTCTTCATGCAATCTCAAGGTCATAGTGGGATTTCTGGCGGCCATGTGACATCTTATTGGGGTTGTTTTTCCTTTAGAGGGCAGTTCTGAAAGGTTTGGAAGCTGAGAGGAGAGAGGAGACACCTGTTGTTGCCCCAAATGCCTTAAGCTCATTTTTCTCCTGGTCAATTAAAATCTTTCTGAAATTTTCCACAGCCAAAAAGCTACAGCCTGCCTTCTCTTTTCTCCACCACATTCTCTCAGTTGGTGACCTCCTCATCTGCCATGGCCTCAGTTCCCTTCTTTCTGGCCCTCACTACCCCATCTCCAGATCCAGTCCAAATCTGCCCTGAACTAACATGCCCACCTGGTGTCTAATTATGTCCTGAATGTGGGATCCTACCTAAACTTATGTTATCAGGAATTCTACATTTTAAAAGTCTATGGCTATACTGTAGTCATTAGAGTATACTTAGAGGCCCTGGTTGCTATCTTTTCACTATCTTTAAAAGGCCTGAACTCTGTTTCCTGACCACCACCACCCCAATCTTCAAAAACAACTGAGCTCTCCAAGGTACTGAGTGAGGTCCTCATGACCTAAACTAATGAATGGCCTCTTCTAAATTTTCCTTCTTCTTAACCTCCCTTCAGCTTTTGACACCACTGACCAGCTGGTGCTCCTGGGTATTTGATAATGTTCTTCTAGCTTGAATTCCTTCCTGGTCACTTTGGCTGACCCACTGTCATATCATTTCATGCCCACTATCTTTGACTGAACCTGAAAGTTGTGTCTCTTTTCTTTTCTTTCCACTATGCTTTTCTCCAGGGGTGAAAGAGTAAATCCTCCTTAGGTTTCAAGACTTTAAGAACCTTCTCTCTGCCACTCACTACCACATCTCTAGATCCAGACCTGGCTCTCTTCTGAACTCCTGTCCCACATTGTGAACTATCTGATTAGAAAATTTCAAATTGATAAACATCTAAAGCCCCCAACTGTAGAACAGATCTCATTTGGCCTCTTCAAAAATACCCTACCTCTTCCCACAGGTATGTGGAGTGTTCAGGGAGGACTAGCACCTCTACAATGGTGGTCTGCTGAGCTCTTTTCAGCACTGTTCATCCACCGTTTGTGTCTATCTGTCACTGAGCCCTCACCTGTGGCTCCAAGAAGCTGTAGCATTCACAGCAGCCACACCTAGGTAAAAACAATTTTGGAGATGGGCTAAACCAGGTTAAGGGTAACCTCAGGGAGATGTCTACCCCAGGCATGTGGAGACTTCCATTAGCAGAATGGGCAGATAAGAACAATTTGTTCCAACAGCCATGAGTGTGTCTGAAACAGGCATTGTAGAGTGCTTAGAAATTGGTCAGACATCGAAGATGCCAAGGTCATCCACTGCATCCCAGGACATTGGCAGTCATCTTGACTTTTGTCTTGCCATTGGACTTCAATGACTCAGTAAGAGAGAGTGAAGTTGATGATTTTGTATAACTCTGCCTCACTTAAATCCAATTCATGCCTAAGTCAAGACATCACCCAATGATGTCATTTGTCCTTTTGGGAAAGGAAGGATGAATAACAACAGCAACAACCTATTCCAAAGTTCTCTACTTCTTTCCAGAACATCAATATCAAGTCAAGAACTGAGGTTCACAGCCTCAGGAAAGTCCTTGACCCCTCACTATCATCACACCTATCTGATCAGTTGATAAAAATTGTCTTTTCTACTTTCACAACATCTCTGGCATCCAAACACTGCTCTCCACTCACACAATACCCTTCTTAGATCAGACCCTCACAATACCTTTCTGCAAGAGCCTTTCATTGGCCTCCCTGCCTCAGTTTTCTTCCTTCTCCATTCAGCTGCCCAAGGCATTTTCCTAAAGCATTCTTCTGATTCCTCTACCCCTCTCACCCCACCCAGCAGGGCACCAATTATCTTGTAACCCCCAGTTGCTTCTTTTTCTATGCTGATTTAAATAGAGACCTCCTTCCAGGCATTTCTCCCTTTTCATGAGCTGGCCCCTTCCTACTTTTCTAGGCTTCACACATTTTGTTATCCTCACCATACTTCATGCCTTTGGCTAAAACAATACATTCCTTCTCTTTGCCTTTGCACTAGTTGGCTGTCCAATCTGCCTGGAATCCTCTCTTCTTTTCACCCTTCTCATTTGACTTTCCTTGGTCCAATAGAATCTCAGCTTTAATCCCACCTGTTGCAAGTTTCCCCTGCTAGCTTGTGCCTTTGCCTCTGCCTCTGAGATATTCTCCCTACACTCTCTGTTTGTCATAGATGCCTTGCTGTTTTCATATTCTCACCAGCCTTAGAACTTTGGAGCAGCCTGATGAAAGGGACTCTGTTGGCATTTTTTGTATCCCTAGCTCTGAGCACAATGGCTGGCACAATGCAAACATTGGAGGACTGGTTTGTGCATGGATTGATTTTGGAATGGTTGATCGACTGAGCTATTCCATACAGTTGTGCCCCAAGACTACCTCAACTCCAACCTGAAACTAGTGTGATTCTGTCACTTGAGTCTCAAGAAGCACTTATTAAAAGAGACAGGATTTCATAGCCTGTCTCAAGAATCAAAAGATCAAGATGGCAAGCCTAATGAAAGAAGGACAATGCCACCCAGGAGAGAGCTGCCATGAAGTCTGAGTTAGGCACCAGCCACGCTAACAATACAGACTTTGGCAACAATATAATCATTTCTCATTATAAGAATAAAATAATTTCAGCCTTCTCAGAGAAACAACAAATTGAGAGAAAATACCCTTAATGAGCTAGAGTGATTGTTTTAATGGAACAAAAAATGAAAAGAATGTGATATTGCCTTCGCAATTTCATTAATGTGAGTGATGCAATTCTGAAATAGATCTGCCACACCTCCAGCTGGATGTATATAAAAGTTCCCTGCATCTGGTGCCATACTCACTCACCACTTCTCATTGACATCAATTCAAATCCGTGAATCCTGACAAAATGAGCTACTCTAAGGGCAGCTGTTATAGAGGCCTGGGCTATGGCTATGGCACTGGTTATGGCTGTGGATGTGGCAGCTTCCGTGGCCTAGGCTATGGCCTTGGCGGCTATGGCTGTGGAAGCCTGGGCTATGGTGGCTATGGCTATGGAGGCCTGGGCTATGGTGGCTATGGCTATGGCTGCTACCGCCCATCTTGCTGTGGAAGGTATTCTTCCTGTGGCTTCTATTGAAAAGCCGCTTCTTTCTGAGCTGTCCTGGAATCCCGGGTTTAAAGCTAATTCCATAGCATGTAAGGACATCGTTGTATCAGCCTCTTCTGCTGGGTGGCATGGGAGAGCTATCACAAGAGAGACTTGCAATCCCTATTGGAGCACTCGGGCAGTGAAGTGGCAGGAGTTAAGAAGCAGCAGGACCCATCCTTCTTGGAAATGATGCAGAATCTCACCTGTCATGAGGGAGATTGCTCTCTCAACAGCAACTCATTTCCAGCAAGTTTGCCCAAATCTTACATGCCACAGCTGGAATGCCTGTTACAATGTTCTAATAAACTTCTTTCACTGTCTTAGCAAAACCATTTTCATGTCTCCTTCTTGACCTCACTGTGCTTGGGTTTCAGCCTCACATTATGAAGAGATTTTCAATTTTGACCTATGCTTATATGCCATTACAGATTTATTCTCCAATTCATCTTTTGCAATGAAAAGATACTGTTCTAGATTTCTATTGAAATAATATATTATTTTCTTGTTATATGTCTTTCTAAAATTTGATTTCTGTAGGACTTCAATTTTAGTACTCCACAATGTTCAGCCCCCAACTTTTTCACCTGTTTCCCTTCTCCAATGTCCTTGGTGCACACAGAGAGAGATTTCATCTTTGAGGTTTCAAAAAGATTGACATGTTCAGGGCCTCATGTTCATGGTTTATGACCTCCAGATCCAAAGTGTCTCTAATGACTGCCAGAATTTAGCCTATACCTTATCTACCTGTCTTTCACCATTTTCTTATTATCAAGCAATTTGAAGTTTTGTAGCACAGCACAAGTCAATGGCACAACATAAAGACTACAGAAGGGAACCATACACCAAGTCTCAAAGTTGTCATGGAAACTTTCCCTTTGGGTGTTTGTCATCTCCTCCAGCCACCTGCATTGTTGATTCAACTTGCAACATTGCCCTCAAGCTAAATCCTGCCTTTCAACAGGGGAAGTAGACTCATTGCTTTATGGGTGTCCTGCAAATCAAACACCTGGGCTCTCTAAGCAACTCAACTCCCGGGAAAAGAGACCATTTGTTTTGCTGCTCCACAACAGGCCTTGGGGCCTTTGGATTCCTCAGCTCCATAAATCAACCTGTCCTTTGTAATCCTGTGTCTCAGAGGGGTTCTTGGGAAGAAAACCAGAGCTTAGCACTCTGCCGGGCACGTAGTAGGTGCTCAATAAATGTTTATTAATTAAACTTGTGTTTCAGACAGTGGAGGAAATAGTACAAGTGCTACTACCAACAGATCTCATCCCTTTTACTTCTTTTTAGTTTATAATGAATTTCTAAATTAAATACAAAAAATATATATATATATATATATATATATATATGCATGTGTATATATATATATAATTTCTGTTACTATATATTATTCCATATCACTATTCTCCATTCACAAAAAAAAAAATTATTTGTTTCTATGGATACACTAGTTTGTTTTTTTTTACAGAAATTCCCTAAGCAGTGTCATTTCATTCACTTCTCAAAGCACATTTCCAAACGATTTACCAATCCTTTACCAGGAGGCATTCTTTGGAGATCACTTTAGTGAAAAATTAATCCTTCAGGAAGAAAATCATTTCTCTCTTTGACACCTCTCCACTCACACAATACCCCCCTTAGATCAGACCCTCACAACACCTTTCTACAAAAGCCTTTCATTGGCCTCTCTGCCTCAGTTTTCTTCCTTCTCCACTCAGCTGCCCAAGGCTTTTTCCTAAAGCATTCTTCTGATTCCTCTACCTCTGTCACCAGTAGGTGCCCAGCAGGGCATTAATTATTGGAGTACTATTTAATTCTCTTTAAGAAAGTTGAAAATAGGGGCAGCTAGGTGGCACAGTGGATAGAGCACCAGCCCTGAAGTCAGGAGCACCTGAGTTCAAATCCAGCCTCAGATCAAACACTTGACACTTACTAGCTGTGTGACCCTAGGCAAATCACTTAACCCCCAATTGCCTAAAAAAATAAAAAAATTTTGAAAAAAAGAAAGTTGAAAATCAGTTTATGAGGGCAAAATGGCAACTCTGGATCCACGTTCCCCCACAAGAACAGACATGATGTATTTGGTGCTTGTACCACACAGTGGCATTTAAAACAGCTGAAAAGAGTTACCACTAACCCCTGAGTGGCCTCCAAGCTCAAGATTCCCAGTTCCTTCAAGTAAATGTCCTAGGACCTAAACTGGAGACCTGGTCTGGAACTTAAAGGTCAGCCATGCACTGAGCAGTGCAAGTTGCATGTCCTTTCTGCTTTCTTTTGCACTGACGGCTGTTGACCCTGCCCAGAATTCTCCCCTCTTTTTGCCCCTACCCTCTGATTTTCTCTGGTCTGGTAGAATCTTAGCTCTAATCCTAACTGTGGCCAAGTGGCCTTACCCTTTCTCCCACTGGTTTGTGCCTCTGCCTCTGTGATCTACTATCAATTCTCCATGTTTATGGCAGGTGCCCTGGTGTTTTCATGTTCTCATTGGCCTTAGAACCCTGTCCAGAGGACAGGGAATCTGTTGACATTTCTTTGTATTCCCATCGCTGAGTACAGAAGCTAGCACAATGCAAACACTGAGAATGCAGTTTGTTCTTCAGGTGCTTTTGGAATGATTGATTGACCTATATTACATATAGTTGTGCCCCATTACCATTTCAACTCCAAGGTGAAATTTTCGTGAATTGTTTTGTCACTTCAGTTCCCAGAAATACTTATTAAAAGAGACAGGATTCCATAGCCTGTCTAAAGAACCAGAAGGCCAGGCTGACAAGTATAATGAATGGAAGGACAGTGACATCTGGGAGAGGGCAGCCATGCAAGTATGGGTAGGGCACCAGCCACATTAACCACATAAGCTTTGGTAGCACTATAATCATTTTTCATTATAAGAATGAGATCCTGGCAAAGCCTTCTCAGAGAAGTAGTAGCTCTCAGAGAAAAAGCAAATCAAGAGAAACACCCTTAATGAGCTGAAAGAATTATTCTCAAGAAACAAACAAAGATAATGTGATTTTGCCCTGGTAATTTGATTAATGAGAATTATGCAATTCAGAAATGAGTCTGCGATACCTCCTGCTGGAAAAGTATAAAAGTCCCTGTGCACATGTGCTGTACACACTCACACAATCTACCTCAATATCCATCCGAATCTGTGAAGCCTGACACAATGAGTTATTATGGCAGCTACTATGGGGGCCTGGGCTATGGCTATGGCTCTGGTTATGGCTGTGGATGTGGCAACTTCCGTGGCCTAGGCTACGGCTTTGGTGGCTATGGCTATGGAGGCCTAGGCTATGGTGGCTATGGCTATGGCTGCCGCCCATTTTGCTATGGAAGGTATTATTCTTCTGGCTTCTACTGAAAAACCATTTGTTCCAAGTCTGTCGTGGAATCCTTGTCTGACCCAGCTTGGCATAATTCCATGGCATTATAAGGTCATCACATTCCGTCTGCCTCTATAGCTGGGTGGCATAGGAGAGCTACTACAAGAGCTGAAGTGGCAGAGACTGAGAAGCAGCAGGACCCATCCTTCTGGGAAATGCTGTACTACCTCACCTTTCATGCGAGAAACTCCCCCAATGCCAGCTCATTTCCAGCAAGTTTGCTCAGCTCTGATATACCACAGCTGAGGTGTCTGTTACAACTTTATAATAAACTTGTTTCTTTGACTTAGCAAAACTGTTTTCATCTCTCTTCCTTGAAGTCCCTGTACTCAGGTTTCAGTCTCATACAGTGAAGATATTGCTGTTTAAAAAAATCACTATTTCCTTATTAAATGTCTTTCTAAAATTGAAGTTCTTTTGTTGTTGTTCAGTTGTTTCAGTCATGTCCAATTCTTCATGACCCTATTTGGGGTTTTCTTGGAAAGGATATGAGAGTGGTTTGCCATTTCCTTTTCTAGACCATTTTACAGATGAGGAATGGAGGCAAACAGGGTTAAGTGACTTGCCTAAGGTCCCCTAGACATCCCAAAGCCCCCAAGTCTAGAACATAGCTCCTCACCCTACTTCTTCAAAAGCAGTCTACCTCTTTACTACTTAATAGCACCTGCCTGCTGCCAGGAACTCAGATTCAGACCCCCAGAGACATGTTTAAAAATTCTCTGTCATTTCACCTATCAAACCAGTTGGCAAAACTTGTCTTTTCTACCTGAACCATGTCCCTGGAATACTTATCCTACTTTCCACTTGTACAGTCTCCATCTTAGATCAGGACCTCACAACGTCTCTCTGCAAAGGCCTTGTGATTGCCCCCCTCACCTCAATCCCCTTTGTAGCACAATCCATCCTCCACTCAGCTGCCCAAGGGATTTCCTAAAACATTCATCTTACTCCTCAGCCCCTCCAACATTCAAAAGCCACAGACTGCGTGTTATCTGGTAAATTCTTGTTGCCTCCTGTTATGTGCTAGTGCAAATTGATACTGTTGTCTAGTCTTTTACCCTCTTTGTAAACTAGCCTCTTCCCTTTACAATCTTGGTATAGTTTATTTCCCTCTCCACATTTTATATTCTGTCCCTTGAAAGCTTTCCCAGAAATGATAAACTGCATATCCCTGTTCCTTGTCTTGCTAATCAACCTGCCCAGACTGTTCTCCTTTCTTTTCTCTTCCCCTCTGATTTTCCCTGCTCCCTTTGAGTATCAGCTCTAATCCTACCTGTAACAAGTGTTGTTACCACTTTTCACATCTGTGATCTCCAATCAGCTCTCCATGTTTGTGACAGTTCTCATTGATCTTGGAATTTTAGAGCTGCCCAGGGACAAGAACTCTGTTGATGCTTCTTTGTATCCCCAGCACTGAACACAGTTGTTGGCACATTGCAAACACTGGAGAAGTGCTTGGGATGCTTTCAGAATGGTAGTTTGATTGACCTATTCCATACATTGGTGCTTAACCATCATCTCAATTTCAACGTGAAACTTGTGGGATCCTGTTAATTTGGTCTCAAACAGCACTGATTAAAAGACACAGGATTCAACCACCTACCTAAGGAGTCAGAAGGCCAGGGTGACAACCATGATGGAAGAAGGACAGTGCCACCCAGGAGATGGCTGTCATGAAGCCTGGGTAGGGCACCGGTACCATAAATTATATAGGCTTTGACAACACTATAATCATTTCTCATTACAGGAACAAGATCATGGCAGAGCCTTCTCAAAGAAATATCACATGGAGAGAAAACACTCTTAATGGGCTGGATGAATTGTTCTTAGGGAATGAAAAATAAGAAGAATGTGATGTTTCTCTGACAAGTTTATTAATTGGAAATGTGCATTTCTGCTGAGAATCTATGAGGTCTCCTGCTGGAAGGGTCTAGAAGTCCCTATGCAGATCATATTAAACACACTCACACAACCTATCCTTGACATCCATCCAACTGAGTGAATCCTGACACAATGTGCTACTATGGCAGCTGCTACTGGAGCCTGGGCTGTGGCTACAGTTCTGGTTATGGCTGTGGCTGTGGAAGCCTAGGTTATGGTAGCTATGGATATGGCTACTGCCAGCCATCTTACTGTGGAAGGTTTTATTCCTACGACTTCTCCTAAAAACTCTTTGCTCCATGGCTGTCATGGAATCCTTGTTCCCACCATGCTCTGGGATAATTCCATGGCTTTGTAAAAACATCAAATTTCATCAGCCTATATGGCTGATGGTTGGCATAGGAGAGTTACCATAAGAGGGTCTTGGAATCCCTATGGATCACCCAGAGCAGCCAAGTGGCACGAAACAATGAGCAAGATGACTTTCCCTCTGGGAAGTCATGCAGAGTCTCTCCTTTAATGAAGGAGATTCCCCCAACAACAACTTATTTCCAGTACGTTTGCTCAGCTTTGATTTAACCCAGATGAAGTATGTGTTAAGATGTTCTAATAACCTTGTTTCACTAGCTTAGCAAAGCTATTTTCCCCAGGGGGCAGCTAAGTGGTGCAGTGGATAGAGCACTGGCCTTGACTGGCCTTGGAGTCAGAAGGTCCAGGGTTCAAATCTGGCCTCAGACACATAATACTTACTAGTTGTGTGACCCTGGGCAAGTCACTTAACCCTGATTGCCTCACCCCAAAAAAAAACCCTTTTTCCCCACTTCTCCTTGATCTCACTGTTCTTGGGTTTTGGCGTCATACTGTGAAGAGATGTTCAATTTTGACCTACTCTTCTGTATCACTGAAGACATCCTCCAGTTCTTCTGCAATGAAGTGATAGCTCTCCATTTTGAATAATATTCAAAAAATGTTATTTCCTTAAATTTTAGTGTTTTGTAATATCCAGGTTTCAACTTTACCAATATCAAGACATTTCCCTCTATAGCCCATGCCACCTCTCTCACTCTGTGTGCTCATATTGATAAGGTTTTTATATTCAAGGTTTCTCAAAGATTCATACATTCATCACCTGCTACTCACAGTTCATCACTTCCAGATCCAAGGGTCCCTGATGACTCTCGGAATGTGGATTAGCCCATTATTTGTCTACTTGTCTTTCACCACTTTGTTATCACTCACCAATTTGAAGTTGTGGAGAACTGCATAAGTAAATGGCACACCACAAAGATGACAGGAAAAGTCATAGCTTTGACCCAGCAATAGCACTTCTAGGGCTATAGCCCAGAGAGATCATACAAATGGGAAAAGGACCCACACGTACAAAAATATTTATAGCAGCTCTTTTTGTGGTGGCAAAGAATTGGAAATTGAGGGGATGCCCATCAATTGGGGAATGGCTGAACAAGTTGTGGTATATGGATGTAATGGAATACTATTGTGCTATAAGAAATGATGAGTAGGCAGATTTCAGAAAAACCTGGAAAGATTTGTATGGTCTGATGCTGAGTGAAGTGAGCAGGAGAACATTGTACACAGTAACAGCCACATTATGCAATGACTAATATTGATAGACTTAACCCTTCTCAATAATACAAAGATCTAAGATATCTCCAAAGGCCTCATGATGGAAAATGCTATCCACATACGAAGAAAGAGCTATGGAGCTTGAATGCAGATCGAATCATACTATTTGCTATTTTTTTCTTCTATTGTGTTTTGTTTCCTCTTTCTGGTGGTCCTCCTGTTGGTTCTAATTCTTACCTACAACATCACTAATGTGAAAATATGTTCAATAGGAATGTATATGTATAGCCTATATCAGATTGCATGCCATCTTGGGGAGGAAGGTAGGGAGGAATAGGAAGAAAAATTTAAAACTCAAAAGCCTATGGAAGTGATTGTTGATAATTCAAAATAAATTATTTTTTAAAAAAAGAAGAGTCATTTACCAGGCCTGAAGGTAGTGATGAAACTGTATCCTTCTGATGGGTCCCATCTCCTCCAGCCAAATGCAGAGCCAGTCCACTTCACAGCACTGCCCTTGAGCTGAGGCCCTTCCATCCACAAGAGAAGAAGACTAATTTTTAAAGAATGTCTCTCAAATCCCTCAAACCCCTGAACTCCCTGATGAATTCAAACTCCCAGGGAAAAGGAATATCAGCTTTACTGCTCCACAGACTGGCTTTGGACTTTTGGTTCCCAAAATCGTGTCTTTCAGGTAGTCCTTGGGAAGAAAGCCTGAGCTTAGCACTCTACCTGGCACACAGTAGGAACTTAATAAATGTTTACTGATTAAAATGTGGTTGATTGAACTGGTGTTTCAGGCAGTGGAGGAAACGCCATAAGTGATACTACCAATACATTGTATGCCTCTTGCAGTTTATCTTAAAATGAATGACTACATACACTGCTCCTGGCCCTTATTTTCCATTCACAAAAAGCATGTATGTTTCTGTGGATCCAATGGCTTTTCAAGGGAAATGTCCTCAGTAGACTCATTCCATTTAATTCCTCCCAAAACATATCTCCAAATGATTCATCAATCGTTTTCTGGGAGACATCCTATGAAGATCATTTCAGTGGAAACTAATCCTCCAGGAAAAAGGTGATTTTTCTATTTCACTGCTCTCAGTGGGAAAAGAACAATTCATTCTCTGTAGCAAAGCTGAAATAAGTTTATGGGGGAGAAGATCACCTATCAATCCAAGTTGTCTCACATGGAAACAAATAAAATATTTGTACTTCATGGTAGCCTTAAAAAAACTTTAAGAAAACAGGCAAAATCCCCTCAGTGTCCTCCAAGCCCAAGAGTTCCAGTATCTTCAAAGGAATATCATAAGCCCTGAGATGGAAGCCCTTCTTCCAAATGAGCTGTAACCCTCTAAATGGTCTATAGCTCAGCCAAAGACCAGCCATGCACTGAGCAGTGCACTTTCCAGTTGCACTATCACCTCTGTTTTCCTGAAATCTAGTTTCTTATGCTCCTCTTCATGCAATCTCAAAATCACAATGGAACATCTGCGTCCTATTAAGCATCCTATACAGCATCCCGTTAAGATTACTTATCTGTTAGAGTGAAGTTTTGAGAGATTTAGAAACTGGAAAGGAGATGCGATGTCTATTGCTGTTCCATCTATTTTGACTTCATTTTTCACATGATCAGTTACAGTCTTTCTGAGACACTCCACAACCAGAGAACTACAGCCTGCCTTCTCTTCTCTTTGTACACTGTCTCAGTTAGTAACATCCTCATCTGTCATGGACTCAGTTGCTTCCTCTCTGACACTCACTACCACATCTCAAATGCCAGAATAGCATTTCACCAGAACTCACTTGACAAGATGGCTGTCTGCCTATGCCTAAATGCATGAGCCTACCCAAACTCAAACTAGCAACACTTCCCAGTACTTCCACATTTAAAAAGTCCATGACTGTACTGCAATCAATGGAACCTACTTAGAGTGCTTCCCGGCACTCTTTTCACTGACTTAGAAGATCCTAGAAATCAGGTTCCTGACCCTAACATTCTTTTCTTTCCTCTCAACTAATCTCTTTCTTGTGATGAGAGAGTACACCTTACTGTTTGCAGGGCTTCAGGGTCCCTCTCTCTCTTTGTCTCTCTCTGTCTCTCTCTGTGTCTCTGTGTCTGTGTCTGTCTGTCTGTCTGTCTGTCTGTCTGTCTCTCTCTCTCTCTCTCTCTCTCTCTCTCTCTCTCTCTCTCTCTCTCTCTCATTCACTGTTTCATCTCTAGATACAGGCAAAAATCTCTCCTGAGCTCCAGTCCGATTGGACAATTTCAACTTTATGTCCCCTACGTATCTCAAAAGAAAAAAAATAAACACCACTACCAACAACAACTCTACAACAGATCTCCTCATCCTGCCTCTTCAAAAGCAACCTATCTATTCAAAACTTCTTTATAGCTTTTAGGACAACTGTCATCAAGCTGGGGAAACAGGTTCACAGACTCAGGGAAGGCCTTGACCACTCTGTATCATCATACCTATCCAGTCAGTGGGCAAAACGTCTCCTTTTTGTCTTCCCAAAATCTCTGGAATCCAAACACTTCTTTTTACTTACACAGTCACCATATTAGATCAGCCTTCACTGCCCTTTTGATTGATCTCCCTGCCTTGATTTTCTTCCTAGCTAGATCCATCCTCTGATCACCTGATCAAGGGATTGTCCTAAAATATTTTTCTAACTCCTTTCCCACTTTAACTACCCAAAATCCCAAATCACTGCACCAATAAGCTTGTAAACTACAGTTGTTTCTTCTTTTGTACCCTTTTCATCAGCTGACCCCTTCCTATCATTACAGTTCTCAGTATGCTTGATTCTCCTGCGCACACTTTATAGTCCTGCCCAATGTAGCCTACCTGCTTTTGATCAGACAATGAATTTTATGTCACTTAAGCTAGACTTAGCACTGGTTGGTTGTCTACCCTCCCAAGAATTCTCTCTTCTCTCCTCCTGTCACCTCTGACTTTCCCTGGTCCAAGAGAGTCTCAAGTCTAATCGAATACATGGCACACTGCCTTATCTCATTGCTGCAGGGGCATGTGCCTTTGCCTCTGAGGTCTTCTCCCATCAATTCCCCATGTTTGTGGCAAACGTCTTGTTGCTTTCATGCTTTCGCTGTTTTTCCAACTTTAAAGCTTCCTGAGGACAGGGACTCTGGTGACCTTTCTTTATATCCCTATCTCTGAGGACAATGGCTGGTAAACATTGGGAGATGGTTTGTGTTTTAGTGCATTTGGAATGGTTTTTTGATTCACTAATTCCAAACATTTTCCCCCACAGTTATTTCAACTCCAACCTGAAACTTGCTGTCACTTCATTCTCAAACAACATGGCTCAAAAGAGACAGAATTCAAAAGCATGCCTAAGGAATCATAAGGTCAAGTCATCAGTCTGTGAAATGAGGACAAGGTCATAATGTCCCAGGAGAGGGCTGTCATAAAGACTGGGTAGAACACCAGCCACATTAACTACATAAGGTTTGGTGACATTACAATTATTTCTAATGAGAAGCATGAGATCCTTGTTGGAGTCTTCATAGTGAAACAGCAAATTAAGAAAAAACACCCTTAACGAGCTGAAGAAATTCTTCTCAGACAACAAATAATGACAAGAATGTGATTCTGCCCAGGCAAGTCCATTAGTGGGAATTATGCAGTTCTGGAATGAGTCTGCCACACCCCCTGCTGGAAGTATATAAAAGT